CAAAGAAAGGTTGCACCTCCCTGAAATGCTCATTCACGTCCAAGAGGGATGGAAAGCACCTCACACTGCCTGCTGCACTGTCAAAGAGAATAGGTACCTATGTCGTTGTGATGTGTTTGAAATCGACACTCCGGTCTGTGGTCTGAGCAATGACCAGGATCCCACAACAGAAGAATCCAGGGAGCCTCATTTACAAAGCCCACGCCAAGCCAACCAAGAAAACTAGTCCCAGTGAGATGGAAGCCAACTGTCCGGTGAAGTTGACGAAATGGAGAGCACCAAGAACAAAGGTCACCTACAACATGGATGGACTGTATTGTGTTGTTACCAATCATAAGACATTCCTCTATGGGGGTCAGTCATGTCCAATACCCTATCCAAATTTTTGCTTCGTTCCACACGAGTACACTATTATTGGGGAAACCGTAGTAACTCCAATACCACAGCTGAATAAAGATTATGTTGTAGATAGTGCCCCCGATGTCCCAGATCCTACACCATACATACCCTATTTTGATATTAAAATTGATAAACTGTCAGTAAACCTTCACAATCTACTCGCAAGGAAGGATACACATATAATACAAATTAGTAACAATATGGTAAAGACGGGAAAACAGTTAAATGAACTTTTACATGATGGGGATTTTAGCTTAGTTACCACTAGGACCTGGGTGGAGATAGGAATAAAAGGTCTCCTTGTGTTACAGGGTGGGTTACTGTTCATCATGATGGTTATGGTAATATATCTGAGTAGACTTTTAAGATGGCAGAGGGAGAAACTCAAATTGCTAATGGAGATTAGACATAAACAGTTACTTGAATAGCGTGAGTGTGGCCTAGCCTCACTGGCCACAAGGGGGGATCTGTTGACTTATGAGGGGTTTATGTATAATCGTCATCAGCAACTGTAAATAGATATTTTTTTCTAACTATATAACCAAGTTACAAAGCTGGAAATATCAGCTTGGTTTGATAGCGGTGTGTTGTACATAGACATTGAAACAAGTGATCAAGTTGTAGAGATAGCTTTGTATTGTATTGGAGGAATGTTTGGTGTGTAAACAGGTGCATGCCACAAGGAATGTTCTATTGTGTGAGAGGGGGCAACCACTAAATTAACTACCTTATCTCAGACTTTATGGGGCCCACATAACGATCTAGGCCAGGCCATTTAAATCTCTTTGTTTATATGAGGGCCACTTCAAAGTACCCTCTCTTTAGATATGCAATGGTGATGGCTATCTGGGGAATGCAGGTTTACCAGGCTATGACCTAAGGTTCCCTCCAAACTCTCAATATTGGAGGGAATTTTGATGAGAAAGCCTGGATCCAGACGCCTCGGTGCCATGACCTGGCATATGTAATTTTATCACTAAGAGGGGAGGCTCTGGAATGGGGCTGAGTTATGTAAGCGATATGGGATGGGGAAACTGTCCAATCCTGGATGAGATGTGTCAGATATGGAAGATGGATTGGATAGTTCTACCAATCAGGATGGCCCCATGCAAGTCTATGGGAGATAAGTGTATATCAGGGTAGGTTTGGAGGAAGACAGGAGAGAAGATACACCGATCCTGGGGGCCCCCATGCTACACCATTGGTAAATATCAGGACATTTCTCTGGCACTTATATGTATACATGATTGTTGTATGTGTTGTCTGTCTTGCTGTTTGTGGGTTTAGGGTATGAATAGTATATGCTTTAATTCATTGGGTGAATCATATACATTTTGTTTCTCTTTTTCTTATTGTTAAATAGATAGATTGTGGTATGTTAGTTTAGACCTCCCTACTATTCACCAATAAATTTTGGTTGTTGTGTTAAACCTTTCACTCTTGGTCAAAGAACTCTCATTAAGGTTAATCAAATCATATCAGAGAAATATTATATTTCATATTCCATAGATTTGGTCAACATATCCCTGGAAGTGGGTTCAGAAACGGGTTTAGGAACAACAGAATAACACGGACATAATCAGAGAAGAGAAAATGTGGAGTGGGGGAGGGGGGGGGGGTAGGAGGGGAGGAGATGGAGGGATAGAAGGGGGGGGTCCCGGTGGGGGGGATGGTAAGAATAGGAAGTTATATATAAATAAATTATGAGGAGAAAATACGGGTTTGATAACTATTTTAAAGAAATGTTGAATTGTTTTGTATATGACTTGAAAAATTAATAAATATTTATAAAAAAAAAAAAAGAACAGCGATAGTAAATCAGAACCACTTGCAGAATTGAGTGATAATGATTTGTGGGGAAATTCGTCATCAGGCACTGAAACCGATTTTGCGACTTTGCTCAGCGATGTGCGAATTTGCCTCTGTATTTCAAATTTCAGTGTTTTTGGTTTGATTATATTATTGAATTAAATTTATTATTATGTTATTGTTTTTTATGATTATTTATTAAATTATAATTTATGATTTCGTGTTTCAAATTTTATCCTACCCGGGATGTTTAATAGACTCTTGTTCGTACAGATTTCAGTGAGTTGTTCCTAAAAATTACAGCCTACAATAAAAAAACTACATATTTCCATGCAAAAAAAATGGTACCGCTTTCAGCACAAAAAATCGGAAAGAATCATACCGCCAAGGAGGTTAAGGATCCTGGTCTTCAATATAAAGCTTACAGAAACACCTGAATAAATATTATCCTCATAGAGGATAATCCAAGGTGAAGGGAAAAAAGAAACCTCATAGTATAGTAAATTTTGAATTTTTAATGTCTAACTATAGTATTAAATGTACATGATAAAATAATTAAAACAGCATATCACCATATCCAATTCCATCCATATCACCATTAAAATGGCCGCCACGTTTCGTTGTGCGATGACGTCAATCGCTCTAGCTCCAAGGTACAGCCCTGTGTTCCTAACACATTACCTAGTCCATATCAGTATAGATATTCAGCATGATATTTTTCCCCATTGAGATCTGGTGTGTTTTCAAAGTGTTCTTTTAATTTTTTTGAGAAGTTTATTTAGAAATAGAGTGTACAGGGTCCAGCGTGAAACTCTGGGGCGCTTTTAGTCCCAAATAACAGAGAGGATTCTTTTCTGCATTAGGTTTGTAGGTAGAAACCGGTTAGGTCCTAAAAAAAAATACTGAGCAAGCATGGTCATGCAAAAGTGGGTAGTAATGGGTTGCAAAAAAGAGTAGAGTAGGAGGGAGTCAATTTGACCCCTACATAGTCTAAAGAAGAAGTGGCCCAACGATAAGGGAAATATGTCTGGAGGTGTAATACCATGGAGGGAGGAAGAGAAATATTAAGCGCTCTTCTTTTCTGAGGGTTGATGCGAGGACCTGATAATTTAGAAAAGTGGAAAAGCAGAAGTTGCAGATTGGGAAGGGTAGTAAGAAGATGCACCGAATATTTTCCGTTAGTGAAAGGTCTGGACTTTATGCAGACCAGTTAAGCACCTGGACTCTTCTACTATGAAGCTATGCTGTTGTAATAAATGTAGTATGCAGTTTAGCATTGTCCTGCAGAAATATGCAATGCCTTCCCTGAAAAAAGATGTTATCTAGATAGGAGCATATGCTGCTACAAAATCTGGATATACACTATGTTGCCAAAAGTATTGGGACGCCTGCCTTTACAAGCACATTGTCAGGGCTCCCAGGTGTGACCAGAGGTGTGTGACTGACGCAGGGAAACGCAGACTTCAGATATGTGATAAACAATATAATTTATTAACACTAACCATACAAACATAAACGCAGTGCAATACTAAAACATAATAAAGTGCAAACAAACAAAACCAAACCAACCACCCACAGATAACAGTACATACAAGAAAGCGTCGTCAGGCAGGCCGGGTCAATATCAATAGGGCAGGTAGGTACAGGGGGAGCAAGCGGAGATGGGTCGGGGTCACAGGCCAGGTTCAGCAGGTAGCTAGCAGCGTAGTACAGAGGGTCAGGCAGAGGGATGGTCAGGGTAACAAGCCAGGGATCAGAACAGGTAGCAAGCAGCGTGGTACAGAGGGTCAGGCAGAGGGATGGTCAGGGTCACAAGCCAGGGATCAGAACAGGTAGCAAGCAGCGTGGTACAGAGGGTCAGGCAGAGGGATGGTCAGGGTCACAAGCCAGGGATCAGAACAGGTAGCAAGCAGCGTGGTACAGAGGGTCAGGCAGAGGGATGGTCAGGAGCCCTTAAATACACCAGTATCATCAGTTCCAGGTGTTAGCTGGCTGAAAGGTTGAGTCTCTGATTGCTGGGAGCACCCGCTGGCCAGCCCTGGTACTGCAGATCAAAAGGCTGGTGAGTCCCACCATTGCTGGCCAGTCCATTCCTGACACACATGGACTTTAATGGCATCCCAGTCTTCGTCCGTAGGGTAGGTTGGCCCTCCCTCTGCAGCTATAACAGCTTCAACTCTTCTGGGAAGGTTTAGGAGTGTGTCTATGGGAATGTTTGACCATTCTTCCAAAAGCGCATTTGTGAGGTCAGCCACTGATGTCAGACGAGAAGGCCTGGCTCGCAATCTCCGCTCTAATTAATTCCAAAGGTGTTCTATCTGGTTGAGGTCAGGCCAGTCAAGTTCCTCCACCCCAAACTCGCTTATCCATGACTTTATGGACCTTGCTTTGTGCACTGGTGCGCAGTCATGTTGGAACAGGAAGGGGCCATCCCCAAACTGTTCTCAAATATTTGGGAGCATGAAATTGTCTAAAATGTCTTGGTATGCTGACATCTTAAAAGTTCCCTTCACTGGAACAAAGGGGCCAAGCCCAACCCCTGAAAAACAACACTGCATCATAATTCCCCCTCCACCAAACTTTACACTTGGCACAATGCAGTCAGGCAAATACTGTGCTCCTGGCAACCGCCAAACGCAGACATGTCCATTGGATTGCCAGACAGAGAAGTGTGGTTCGTCATTCCAGAGAACGCGTCTCCACTGCTTTAGAGTCCAGTGGCAGCGTGCTTTACACCACTGCTTCCAACGCTTTGCATTGCACTTGGTGATGTAAGTCTTGGACTCAGCTGCTTAACCATGGAAACCCATTACGAGAAGCTCTCCATGCACTGCTGTTGTGCTACTCTGAAGACCACATGAAGTTTGGAGGTCCTTAGCTATTGACTTTGCAGAAAGTTGGCGCACTGCGTGCTTCAGCATGCGCTGACCCTGCCCTGTCACTTTTACGTTGCCCACCACCACATCGTGGCTGAGTTGCTGTTGTTCCCAGTTGTTTCCACTTTGTTATAATACCACTAACAGTTGACCATTGAATGTTTAGTAGCAAGGAAATTTCATGGATGGACTTATTGCACAGGTGGCAACCTATCGCGGTACCATGCTTGAATTCACTGAGCTCCTGAGAGTGACCCATTCTTTCACACATGTTTGTAAAAGCAGTCTGCATGTCTAGGTGCTTGATTATATACACCTGTGGCCATGGAGACAATTGGAATAGCCAAATCAAATTATTTGGATTGGGGCGTTTCAATACTTTGGCATATATGGCAATATAGTGTATCTTTCAGCATTGATGGTGCCATGCTGCCCATTTCATGCACACTGATACACCCCCATACCATCAGAGATGCAGGCTTTTGCAGTGAGCACTGATAACAGGCCAGAAGGTCCATCTCTTTATTCTGGAGGATGTGGCACCCATGGTTGCCAAAAAGAATGTTAGATTTCGATTTGTCTGACCACAGAAGAGTTTACTACTTTGCAACAGATTATTTAAAAGCTTTGGCCCAGAGAAGACGGCATTGTTTCTGCATCATGTTCAGATCTGGATTCTTTGTATGATACAACTCTGCTTCGCATTTTTGGATGACACAGTGAACTGTGTTCAGACAGTGATATTTGGAATTATTCTTAAACCCATGCAGTGATGTCCATCACAGAATCATGCCTGTTTTTTCATTCAGTTCCATCTGAGGACCCATGTCTGCTATTTTGTCATGGACAGCAAGTTAGAACAAACATGAAATTCTGCATGAAACTGGGCAAATCTGCCACAGAGATGTTTGACATAATTCGGCAAATTTACAGCGATGCTGCAGTGAGTAGTTTGAGATATTTTGAGTGGCTTGCGCACTTCAAGAGCGGATGAACATCACTGGAAGATGACGAGAGATCAGGAAGACCTTCATCTAGCTCAACCCCCAAAAATGCCCTCTTCCTGGAGATGAATATCCAGCTCAAAGGTCCCGTGTTGACAACATTGCGGAGATCCAGCGATTTGCCCAGTTTCACGCAGAATTTCATGCTTGCCCTTTGTTCTAACTCGCTGTCCATATTGAAATAGCAGACATGGTAACGCACTTGGTCAGAATTGCACCAGTTGCACAGCTACCGATGTACACAGGGCGATGTCTTTTGGCACACTGACTTATGAAAGTCAGTGCTCCCTGTTACTGTGCATGCATCCTTGTGCTGCTATCTGTTGGCACGTTACAAAACTAGTCTCGAAACCTTTTGATACTATCCCATATGAGTTGCTACCTCAGTGACAGCAACCTTGTGGTCCAGTCTGGCTTCTGCGCACAACAATCCACTGAACTGCCATACTAAAGCTCACTAATGACCTACTAACTGCTAAAACCAAGGGCCTTTGACACAGTTGACCACCTGCTCCTGCACCTTTAGACAATCCTTGAAAATTAATTTATTCAGGGAAGCCTACCCCACCTCCACCTAAAAACTGTACTTGAGTCACCTGCAGCTGTTACCTTTTGTATTAGCTCCCCCTCTCTTTAGATTGTATGCTCCATGAGCAGGGCCCTCCTCTTCTGTATTGAAATGTGTTGTAATTGTACTGTTCCTCTCTATATTGTAAAGTGCTGCACAAACTGTTGGATCTTTATGAATTCTGTATAATATTAATAAGCATATCATTAACCATAGCATCTCAAGGAGCATGGTTTTGGAAAGCAGAAGCAATCAACATTTGATCTATAAGTTTGAGGGCCAAAAACAATGACCTGTAAAGGTTCTTTGTCTGTATCATAGGTGGGACCACCTCGTTATACAGGAAGTCTAGCAGGCACAATTTAGAATCCAAGGGAAGTGTAATATGAATAAAACCCTATTATTAATTCTGTTCAAAACATCTGTCCTGTAATGAAAGTGTTTATAATGAAAGCGTTTTGAATGTCTCTAGAGCACGTGGGTAAAATTTCCTGGCTTTTAGCCTCATCATGCACAAGATGGATATGATACGTTCTATGCCCATACTGGTGCAGCCTCCGCAGAGTCTACTAGGTTCTGTACAGAGTCTTAGACTTAATGAGCGTTTAATCCTTGAAAGGTGGAGGAAAGGCACGGCAAGGGTTATTTTTATTTCCTGCTTAGAGTGGGTTTATAAACTTAGGTAAAACCTTTTTATAACCTCTATAAAGTTTCTATTACAATGGAGTTTATTGGTAGTATCAAGTCATCAGAAAAATCCAAAGACAGAAATTATGGTAAAGAGAAAATAAACATACACTTCCTCCAATTAACAGAAAGCATGATAAATGCACTGAGTTACAAACAAACAGGCAAATACGAATGTGTGATTACAATGTGTAATTGAATGAGAAGATACATAACAAAATGCAGTATTGATTAGCATGTGAAGGCCTATGATTCATCGGGTTAAGTCTGTAGGTGAACCTGAAAACCGCATATAAAGCATAATGCATAACCCCATAGGAGAAGTGTGAATACAGTAATCCTTTGGGCCCTAAAAGGTCCAACGAACATACAAAACACTTCAGGTTCAAAACACAGAAAAAATCACGTTCAGTGCAATTACAGAATGAAAGGGAGCAGAAGGGAGAGGAGAAAAAAACAAAGAGGGGGTCCCGGGGGATCACAGTAGAACGTCGTTATAGCGACAAAAGGGCAAATCTAGACGGCTGGGCTATTTTAAGCCAGGGTTGCCCAACCCGGAGGTACTTTGGATGTATGTCCAACAGTATAGCTATCAACGTCTCATTAATCATTATAAAGTTCATCCGATTTTTGACTGCTTCAAAACTGAGGAGGGGGGGGGGTCTTCCATGTTTTCACAATTGTCAATTTGGCGTCTGTGAATAAATGTGATGCCAGTTGACACTCAGGCGGCGTAGACCTTCTAATGGTTTGAATAAAAGCGCCTCATAGGGGTTGCGTTTAATATTTGTATGAAACATAGTGCAAAGAAGGGCATAGACCCTGACCCAGAGTTTGCATACCTTGGGACAGGTCCACCATATGTGGGCCATTGTGCCAGTTTGTTGACAACCCGAAAACAATTCGGCGAGTAAGATGGGATAAAACAGGCCAATCGAGCTGGTATATAGTACCACAGAGAATTTTGTAAGCATTTTTTAAAATAAAATGTTTTTAACATTTGGAGAATGCTTGGGTCATGATCTGCCAGTCCTGCTGTTTAAGTCGGCCTCCTAATTCAGATTGCCAATGTTGGTGATAAGGTCATAGCGGGGGCTTTCTGTTGGAGATAATAGAGGAATAAATCAGTGATATCAGGCCCGGAGAATGAGGTATGTTTCTACATAGGCTTTTAAAGAGAGTCATCTGTAGGGTGTAGGCTGTGCATGTAATAGTGTAGAGATAAAATGGCAAATTTGAAGGTAGCAAAAGTGCCCCCTCGGAATGTTATAAGACGATTGAAGGGTGTCAAAAGTGAAAATCCTAGTAGGGGAGAGTAAAGAGTGTACATCATTGAAACCATGGGCCATCCACCACGTGAACTGTCCTGGATTGTCAAGACCCGGGAGAAATAACGGATTATGAAGGAGACGCATTAAGGGTAGATGAGATGAAATGAGACCAGCCAAATACTTAATGGAATCCCAAAGTCTATGTGTGTGTGTTAACGTCGGACTAAGGGGCGTAGGACGATGAGCAGGAGGGAGCCATGGTAGAGAGGGAAGTGGCGTCGGATGTGAATCCATCAGATCCACAGTGGCCCACAGAGGGATATTTTGGGGTTCGTGAAGATGGGATAGAGAGGTGATATTAGCTGCCAGGTAGTAGGCGTGAAGGTTTGGAACGGATAATCCTCCATTAATCTTATGGGCAAATAAAATCTGTTTGTTAATTCTAGGGCGTGAAAAGCCCCAGATAAATGACAGAAGTTTATGTTGATGAATACATAATATATGCAGGGGGACAGGTAAGACACGGAATACATATGTTAATTCAGGAAGATAAGTCATACGAATCGCGTTAATTCTTCCAAACCACGATAACGGGTAATGGGCCCATGAAGATAACATCTGTCAATTCTTAAAATAATGAAGGGAAATTAGCTTGGTAAAGTCCCTCGTAAGATAGGGTGAGCCTAACCCCAAGTATGGCAGCGCTGGGAGCCAATGAAAAGGAAACAAATGTTTTAGAACTGCTAATAGTGGTGGGGAGAGAGTTACTGACATAGCTTTAGATTTGGCAGGATTAACATGAAGGCCCGAAAGGAAAGCAAACATGTCCAAGACTGAGATTGAATTCAGTAGGGTGATTCCCAGGTTTGTTAAGGTCAATAGTATATCTTCAGCAAACAATGACATCTTATGTTGCGAGCCTGCCACGTCTAGCCCCTGGACATCTGGGTGAGTGCGAATAGCATCCGCCAATGGTTCCAATGCTAAAATAAATAATAAGGGATAAAGTGGGCAGCCTTGTCTGCTTTCCCTACAGATCGGAAAGGTTGAAGAGTCAAAACCGTAATATTTAAGTTTGGCCTGTGGGGATGTATAGAGAGCTGAGATCCAACATAGAAAGGACAGACCAAAGCCATAGTGGCGGAGGACAGACATAAGATATAGCCAAGACAAGGTATCAAAGCATTGTTAATATCTAGGGATAAGAGCATCATATCAATCTTGCAGGTGTGAGCTAAGTGCTGTAATTGAAAAACCTGTCTAATGGTGTCCCCTGCTTCTCTATGTGGGACAAAGCACACCTGATCTTTTTTAATTAGTCGGGTGAGAAAGGAGTTCAGGCAGTTAGCTAAAATTTTAGTGGGGATTTTCATTTCTATATTGATGAGAGAGATTGGTCTATAATTAGTCCAGGATGAATGATCCCTATCTGGCTTCAGAATCCTAACGACATTAGCAATTAGCAAATTCAAAGTAAAGCTTGAGCCCATTGGGTGGCACAGTGGCTTAGTTGTTAACACATCTGCCTTGCAGTAAATGGGTCATGGGTTCGATTCCTGACCATAGCGCCTCCTGCATGGAGTTTGCATGTTCTCCCTGTGCTTGCATGGGTTTCCTCCGGGTACTCCAGTTTCCTCCCACGCTCCAAAGACATGCTGGTAGGTTAATTGGCTCCTGTCTAAATTGGCCCTAATATGTGTATGTACTGTATGAATGTGAATTAGGGACTTTAGATTGTACACCCCTTGAGGGTTAGGGACTG